GGGGGGGGAAGGGGTGTCTGAGATAGGGTTTCTCTATGGCTTTGGAGGTTGTCAGGCCAGGCTGATCTTGAACTCACAGAGATTGCCTGCCTCTGCCTCCCAAATGTTGCGGTTACAGCATTTACACCACACCTTTGGCTTTAAATAATTCAAGTAGTAGTTCTATAATAGGAGTAGCATTTCTGTGAATGGTGACAGTTTTTATAAAAGGGGATGAGTGAGAAGGACAGCATTGGTTACATTTTTGGAGATTTCTATTAGTCTGTTTTACAGAGGACATGTGGGTTTAAGCTTCTGAGTTAATTGTGTGTGGCTTGTATGTTGGGTATACAGCATATAGGTAGGCTGAAGGAAGAGGAGGAGAAATATGATTCAGATTATGGAGAATAGTTTTTCTACACAAGCAACTGTGATTGGTATCAGTTTTGTAACTGTTCACAATGAACTGTGTCAAAAACTATCCATGTCCTGTCCATCCTGGGCTTGGAATGAATTGTATCTACTTGCGATTCTGTCACATGTCTGGCTCAGTTAAGATATGTTGGTTCTCTGATGACTTACACATTTTAGTTCTAAATGCTTTGACGCACTTCATATTTGATACCAAAACCTCATACCTTGGTGTCTCGATTTGTGGATGGCGTCATTGGGAACCTGAGCAGCCTCGTGAATTTTGCAAAGTTTGACAATGGCCAAGAACAAATTTAAAGGACAGAAGTCCAGTAATGTGTTTCACATAGCCAGCCAAAAAACCTTCAAGGTTAAAAACAAAGCAAAACCAGTTACTACTAATCTTAAGAAGATAAACATTATGAATGATGAAAAAGTCAACAGAATGAACACAGCTTTTATAAATATACAGAAAGAACTTGCAAATTTTTCAAAAAGTCTTTCTATCAAATCTATGCAGAAAGAGCTGCAGCACCACGAAAATGAACCAGCTAATGTTGATGAAGCTACAAGACTAATGGCTCAGTTATAATACAGTGACAGTATATCATACTCCCCCAAAGATCAATAAATTGAATGTTTTATACAACTTTAAAAAACAAGCAAACAAACAAAAAAAAACCCATACCATGTTAGTCTCATCAGAAAAACCCTGGGGTACCAGATAAGAATTTTCCAAAATTCTAATTTTCTTCAAAAAGTTTGAATTATGCCAGGCAGTGGTGGCACACACCTTTAATCACGGTACTCGGGAGACAGAGGCAGGAGGATCTCTGTGAGTTTGAGATCAGTCTAGTCTACAAGAGCTAGTTCCAGGAAAGCCTCCAAAACCACAGAGAAACCCTGTCTTGAAAAACAGAAACAAAAACAAAAAAAGTTTGAATTTTACCATTAACAATTGAATTCGGTTCCTATCAAGTAACAAATTCTCTTCATCTTTTTGAGAGGCAAGGCAGGCAGAGTTGAAACTGGGTCTCACACTGCAGTATAACCTGGCCTGGAACTCATTATGTAGCATAGGCTGGCTTTGCTGCTGTGCCTTTCCTGTCTTGGCCTCCCAGGTGCTGGGGTCACAGGCTGAACCCCACATCTAGCACACTTTACCATTTTTGACAGAATAGTTTCCCTTTGAGTTCTTCTTTAATGTTAAACGTGGTGTTTTTAAAATTATGTTTATTATTTGTTGTGAGGGGTATAGAAAAGGTATGTACAGAGGATAACTTGAGTCAATTCCCTCCTACCATAGATGAACCTAAGTCACCCTCTGAGCTATCATGTAGGCCAGCGATGTCTGATTAAAGTAAATCTGCTGTGGCCCACATATTTAACCCTAGCACTCAGGAGACAGAGGCAGGTGATCTCTGAGATCCAAGCTAGCCAGGCCTACATGATGAGACTCTGTCTCAAACAAAACAGAAATGAACTTTTGCTGCTTTGCAAAGTACACGGTGAGACTGGTGACACAACTTAGCGGAGAAGCGTGCTTACCCCACAGGGAAGGGTGAAGAAATGAAGGCCACGGCTAAGCAAAATAGGTTGCAGAAAAACTTGGGTTTCCACTGCAGCCATGGCACTGCATTATGTATCCCACCATCATCACACATGTCTGTGGTGACAGGGAGCTAAGTCTTAGTGTCAGCATCAAAATAGTTTGATCTTAGGAAGCTGCATGGGTCCCCACAGCACATCCTGACTTGTGAGGCTGCACAGCCCAATAGGGAATTAATGAGTATTATTTTCAGGGAGCTGTCTTTGGGAACCAGGTTTCTCAGGCCTCTCTTGTGTCCCTACTCCAGGATCGTCTGAAGGACCTGAACAGCCAGGCTGACAGTCTGATGACCAGCAGCGCCTTTGACACTTCCCAAGTGAAAGACAAGCGGGATTCCATCAATGGACGCTTCCAAAAGATAAAGAACATGGCAGCCTCCCGAAGAGCAAAACTGAGCGAGTCCCACCGCCTGCATCAGTTCTTCCGCGACATGGATGATGAGGAGTCCTGGATCAAGTAAGTGCCCTTGCAGTTGTGTGTCCAGTGTCTCAGAGGCTATCTAGAAAAACGGGCTTTCTTGGTTTGTTGGGGTGGCAGGGAAGTGTGACGTAAGGGCACAGTTTAGAGATCTTGCCAAACTCTCTACTTCTACTGCACAGTAGTAAGCAGCAGTCATCCTGTAGCGATGATGTCACAGTAGACCCTGCCTTGTGGGTCCCAAGGAAGTTGTTCCGTTTTTGTTTTTTCATGTTTGTTTTTATTGTTTTGGTTTGTTTTTTTGTTATTGTTTGGTTGGTTTGGCTTTTTTCTTTTGTTTCCCTTGTTTTGTTTTGTGTTTTGTGGAAAGGGTCTCTCTGTGTAGCCCTGGCTGTCCTAGAACTCACTGTGTAGATCAGGCTAGACTTGAACTCTCAGAAATCCACCTGCCTCTGCCTCCCAAATGCTGAGATTAAAGGTGTCCACACACCTTTAAGAAAAAAACTTTCTATGTTTCCCTATATGTGGGGAAACACATATGTGTTTCCCTATATGTGACATGTGAGTAAATGGAGTTAATAGTACAACACACAGCAGGGCCAGTCCTCTGTACTCTCATGACATTTAGATGAGTTATGTTCCTTGACAAATGTGCATCGTCAGAGGCAGTTCTAGATCCATGGTTTTGGGAAAAAGCAGCTTCTATTCCCAGGAAATGGAAAGGGATTTTTATGAAGAAAATGGTAGGGGTTGGAGGATGCCAGAGTGAGTGGCTGAACTAACACACCCCACGGACATGATCAGGTGCAAGCTGACCATACTGCCTCTGCTCTTCAGGGAAAAGAAGTTGCTAGTGAGCTCTGAGGACTATGGCCGAGACCTGACAGGTGTTCAGAACCTGAGGAAGAAACACAAGCGGCTAGAAGCCGAGCTGGCTGCCCATGAACCAGCCATTCAGGTGAGGGGTTACCTTCTGCTGAAACACAGGGCCATGAGGAAGGGGCCAGGTATAGGCAAAGTCCTCTGATCTTAATGGCGTGATCTTGTGATCGTGATGCCTCAGTCCCGGCCTTGAAGAAGCAGAACTGTTTGTTTTTCTGAGTCAGGGTTTCTCTGTGTAATCTTGGCTGGTGGGGAACTCCTTATGTAGACCTGGCTAACTTCAAACTCAGATCACAGGTTTCGGCCTCCCAAGTGCTGGGATTAAAGCTGTGCCCAGCACATGTAGCCTGAAGAGATCATTGTGAATGTGATTTTGAGACTTCTGGCAGCTTGAGCCACAGGTACCTGGAACTAGGCACTTGGCAGCACTGCTGGTGTTGATTCCTTTTCTCACTTGTCAGGGTGTTCTGGACACTGGAAAGAAGCTGTCTGATGACAACACCATCGGGCAAGAGGAGATCCAGCAGCGTCTTGCACAGTTTGTGGAGCATTGGAAGGAGCTGAAGCAGCAAGCAGCTGCACGGTGAGTACATCAGCAGGCGCTCTTAGACAGATGGAAGGGCTGGCCCTTCCTGCCAGCTCATAGGCCCTTCATTTCCTTGGGGTATCAAGTATTAGCTTGCTCCAGAGCCATTCTGAGCTGTTCCTGTCCTCTGAGTCTGAAGCCAGCAGTTAACTCCAGAGCTTCCTGTCTGAAGAGCCTGTCTGCCTTGTGTCCCTTAGAAGACTAAACCATGTTTACACACAGACACACTCCTTCATGGATATTTTAGAATATTTTATCCAAAGGAAAGAGCTCTTATTTATTTGTCTGTCTATTTTTTTGTTTGTTTATGGTACTGGTGATTGAACCTGAGATCTTAAGACACATTAGTCAAGCGCCAATACCACCAAGCTAAAACTCCACCCCCCCTTCATGGATATCTTAAATACATATTAACGATTTCCCCTCCCCCATTTCCTAATAAGGGGCCAGCGGCTAGAGGAATCCTTGGAGTATCAGCAGTTCGTAGCCAATGTGGAAGAGGAAGAGGCATGGATCAATGAGAAAATGACTCTGGTGGCTAGTGAAGATTACGGAGACACTCTTGCTGCCATCCAGGTCAGGAAAGCTAAGCAAATGTATGAACAGTGAAGGTATACTAACTCACAATCTGAAGGCTAGGAGCCTGAAGTATAGTGTTGACCAACCATGTTCCCATCACACCTCATAGAAGAAAGTCCTTACTGCTTCCAGGACCACACTTTCACTCCAAGCTTTTTTCCACATAGCATCTCTCTCTGTGTCCACTCTTTTCTCTGGCATTCCCTGTCTGTCCAAATTGACTTCTTTTTGGAAGGATACAATCTTACTGGTAAGAGAGACTGAAAAAATCCATTAGCATCCTTTTTTTTTTCTATGTTCATGGCCCCAGAAGTTAAGCTCAACCCATAGCCACTTTGAGTTGGTTACACCATGGTCATACCTTCTTGAGTTCCAGCCAGCCAATGTGGAAGCAGTTTGCATTGCCTTGAGCCACTCTCCTCACAGTTCATGTGTTAGGATATATTCAGTGACCTCCCTCCTCAGGGTGTGGTTGAGGTCCCTAGAAACAGGAAGTTGGTGATATTGTTCTCCATTCATTGGGGAGCTAGACATTAAGACTGGGTCCCTTATGGGATATGCTTAGAAGTGTTGTTGCTTTGTTGGGCGCTTACTTCCAGCTTTCTGAGCATTCTTACCCTAAACTAGATGGTTCTGCAGACCTGCAGCCTATTCTCACTCCTGGCTCCCTGGTACCTGTGTACCATGCTAATGGTACTTCCCCCTAGGGTACAGAGTAGGAGGTCGGGGCTCATAGCTTGTGGCACTCTCTATCCCAAAACCTAGCATATTTACATCCAGGCCCAGTGGCTGACCTCACTACTTTGTCTCTAGGGCTTGCTGAAGAAACACGAAGCTTTTGAGACAGACTTCACTGTTCACAAGGATCGGGTGAATGATGTCTGTACTAATGGACAAGACCTCATTAAGAAGGTGAGCCTGGATCCCAGGAAGATTCTTGTTTTCAGCCCAAAGTACACCAAGCTGAGTTCTTTTTTCGATACAGGGTTTCTCTGTGTAACTTTAGAGCCTATCCTGGCACTCGCTCTGGAAACCAGGCAGGCCTCAAACTCCCAAAGATCTGCCTGCCTCTGCCTCCCCAGTACTGGGATTAAAGGCATGCGCCACCAATGACCCGCCAAGCTGAGTTCTTAGTAGAGCTGTCAGCAGGCCTGTGCCATGTTTCATATAGCCGGAGTTGCTTTTGAATGGAAGGACTCCTCCTTGAGCAACCAGCTTTTGGCCTTAAGTGAGAAGGGCAATCTTGTTGGTTGTTTCTTGACAGTAGGACTTCCAGAATACTATGCTTTTTCATTTTTTTTTTATTGTTTGATGTATATGATTTTCCTTCTTGTGTATGTCTGTGCACCACATTTATGCATTGCCCAAGGGTATCAGAAGAGTGTGTTGGATCCCTTATGACTGGAGTTACTGATGATGTGAACACCACGAAAGAGCGGGAAATGGAGCCTTGGGCCTCTGTAACAGTCAATATTTTTAAACTACTACATGTGTGCAGTGCCCAAAGAGGCCACAAGAGGGCATCATAGCCCCTGGAATTGGTATTGCAAGCAATTGTGAGCCACTGTGTGGGTTC